GTGTCTACAGAACTTGTTGATGGATTAGATGTGCTGTATGAGGCCAACTCCTAGGTTCTTGCTCTGAGCAAGTAGGTAAATTGGGTTGCCAATGTATAGGATGAGAAATGCCTAGTCTGGAGAAGGTATAGGGGCTGTTTGATTTGATTATATTTAGTTGCGAAGTTCAGGGAAGAGGTTCAGGTTGGGGACAAATTTGGGAGAATAAAGGGTTTTTAAAGCTCTGATATTGGATGAAATTACCCAAGGAGAAAGCAAAGACCTAAAAATTGAGCCCTGGAGCACTCCAACAAGAGAACATAAAACCTGTGACAGAGAAGATTAGAATGTTTAGGATGGAAGACAGAAATGTAAAAAAGACTAGACAGAACTGGACTATTGAAATAAAATATAACACAATGCTAGTTAAAACTGAGAAGAATGAGAATTCATCTGTACTGATATGATAGCCTTATTGGAGCCCCGATGTACTGGACATTCTGACTATCAAGCCGGAAGAGGCAGTCCAAGAACAGGAAATAGGGACACAGAAAGTATGCTTTGCATGTGGTGTGGCATGACACCTTTCTATCACAGGGTCTCTAGGCAGTTGGGACTAGGCGTCCAGAGGAACGTGAAGGCCCTCCTAGAGGAAGGGACAAACTGTCCTGTGGCTTGAAATTGGGTGGAGCTAGATTTTATGAGGAAGGTTTTGGACCTATGGGCCCAGCGAATTCTTATCTAAGAGTTATTCTAAGTGAATTTTGGGTTGTACTTTGCTTCTGACATCCTTTTTTTAGTCTTGTTAAAAATTGTACTCTGGCTTTATGTCACAATAGATCAAAGCAAATTAACCTAAATGTGGAATCCCTGGAGTGTAATAAATAAGAGAACATATTCTGGTGCCAGACATAGGGTGCCCATTAACTGAAAAATCAGTTAGGAGGTGAATTCGCTAGTTTAAGGGAGACATCATGAGAACCAGATGTAAGTAGAGGAAATGGAAGGCAAAGAAAGAAACAGATTAAACAGACAGTGGTTGCTAAACATAAGTGGGGCATAGGAGAATTTTAAAATAACTCTGAGATTTCTACTTGGGGCTCTTAAATGAATTACCACCAACCAAACCAGGGACCAACAGAGGAGAGCGATGTTTCAGCAGGGCTGGTAATGAAGTGATAATTAAGTTTTAAACATGCTGGGTATTGGGCAGAAAAGTTTAAGAAGCAATTGGAAATGTAGTCTAGCTCAAAAAACTTTCTGACTATAAGGTTATGAGACATGAATAAATTACTATGAGTATGAATGACATTCATATATTTCAGAAACATAAAATGCACCAGTTTTTTTCCAATCATTTTGGACTCAGGAAAAGCCTTTTTCTAGCACATCTTTCTATCCCAGCTTTATTGAGTTATAATTAACATATAACATTGTGTAAGTTTATAGTGTACAATATGATGATTTAATATATGTACATATTGTGCAATGATTACCACAATAAGGTTGATTAAAACATCTAACATCTCACATAGTTACCATTTGTGTGTGTGTGTGGGGGGGGGGTAATAACATTTACTATCTATTCTCTTAGCAACTTTCAAGTAACAATGTGATATTGTTAACCATAGTCACCATGCTGTACATTAGAACTTCAGAACTCATTCATCTTATCTATGGCTATGCTACCCTGAACAAGCCAGATCCCATCTGATCTTGGAAGCTAACCAGGGTCGGGCCTGGTTAGTATTTGGATGAGAGACCACTTAGGAAGACCGGGTGCTGTAGGCATGAAAAATAAAAAAATAAGGGATCATAAGCTAACAAGGCCCTTGCAATCTGTGAGGTCAACCAAGGGTTGCCTCACCTGAAAAATAAAAAAAAAAATGAAAGAACTTATCCATCTTATAACTGGAAGTTTATACCCATATGACTTAACCAATATCTCTCCATTATCTTTTCCCCAAGCCCTTGGCAATTACCATTTGAAAAGCGCTTGGCAATTACCATTCTACTCTCTGATGCTCAGTTCAACTTTTTAAGATTCAGATATAGGTGATATCATATAGTATTTGTTTTTCTGTGACTTATTTCATTTAGCATAATGACCTCCAGTTTCATTCATGTTTTTACAAATGAGAGTTGTCTTTTTTTTAATCTACGTGTGTATATGTATACATACCATGACCTCGTTATCCATTCATCCATTGACAGATTATTTCCATGACTTGGCGATTGTAAATTATGCTGCAATAAACATGGAGGTGCAGATATCTCTTCAAGATACTGATTTCATTTCCTTTGAATATATACTCAGAAGTGAGATTGCTGGATCATATGGTAGTTCAATTTTTATTTTTTGAGGGACCCCCAGACTGTTTTCCATAGTGCTTGAACCAATTTGCAGTCTCACCAATGTGTACAAAAATTCTTTTTTCTCCACATCCTTGCCAACACATATCTCTGGACTTTTTGATAATAGCCATTCTAATAGATGCGAAGTGATATCTCATTGTGGTTTTGATTTGCATTTCCCTGACGATTGGTGATATTGAGCACGTTTTCTTGTAACTTGGTATTTTTATGTCTTGCTTGGAAAAATGTCTATTCGTCCTTTGTCCATTTTTTAAATTAGATCTTTTTTTTTTTTGGAAGAGGGGAAAACATGCCAATTTTCTCAAAATGTCTCATCATTAATTACCTGGGATACTTATTAAAAATGCAGATCACGAGCTCCTCCCCCTGATGTTCTGATTTGGCAGGTATGTAATGGTGACCACGAATCTATATTTTTACAGGTACTACCAGGCGACTCTCATTATTAGCCAAGTTTGGAAAAACAGAACTAAAAGCAGAGTTTCATAGTACCTAGTGTCTGTAATATTTTTTTTCATGGCGACTCAGGCCAAAAGAAATATGCCAAGGATCCATTTAAGTAGATAGATCCAGACACTTTTAATAGTTGTAGTTTTTAAGAAAGTCCAACAGATGGCACTGCGTTTCCCTCAAAAAGTTAAACTATCCCCTGAGTTTTTGAGGCACCCCAGAGCGTCTTTCAGCACAGTTTATGAATTATAGCCTAAGAAGAATATTTTCCTAGCATAGCATCTAGATAAAATATTTGAATGGGCCTTCTATAGGAAGATTGTACAACAAAGTCGACAGAGTATTCCATGAATTTTGTCATTTTTTTTATATCAGTTATTGCAGTTTCATGATTGTTATTGCTTATAGAGCAGGAGTATCATTTTCCTATGATGAGCCAGAGAGCAAATATTTTTAGCTTTTGTGGGCCACAGATGGTCTCTAATTCATATTCTTATCTTTGCTGTTGTAGCCCTTTAAACATGCAAAAACCATTTGGCCCACAGACTGTAATTTGCCAGTCCCTGGTCTAGTTACAAGCTTGGTTCTAACATTAAAGTACAGTTCAATGTAGGTGCTTCTGCAAGGCTGGAAGTTCTTAGTATTTTCCTGTCTCATCCTTTTTGCTCCTGGGAAGTCTCTGCAGAAATGCACCCCTACTTGATACAAAGCTATTGTAAACAGAAGGCTGTCATTGAATCTTGCTCTATTTCCTGATTTAATGAGAATGTGCAAGTTTTTCCAGCTGAATTTTTAAAATCCTGTGTTGTAGCTAGATTTTATTTAAAAAGTGATATGTGTGTATGATAAAAGTAAAGATTAGAAAAGAAAAAAGAATCCTAGAAGCTAAGCAGGTCGGGCCTGGTTAGTACTTGGATGGGAGACCAACTCAGAATTCCAGGTGCTGTAGGCATTTAAAAAAAAAAAAAAATCCTGTTAAGTTTCCAAGAAAAGACTAGATATTGCATTAAGTCCTTTATCACTTATTTGCTGATTAATATAAATGGCTAATGAGATTCCGCAATTATAGCTAATAAGGCAAGCAAGCCTTAGCTTATAATAGATTCAATAAATAATTTGGTAGAATATGCCGTTTGAGACTTCTAGCTTTATTTCCAAAATTAGTGTGGCTGTCCTGAAATATGCACTGTGCTCAGTCCTTAGATTTTGTCAGTATTTCTTAAAATCTGGTAGGACAAGTATGGTTCCTATGCTAATCATAAAGGATATAACTATCATTAGCAATAATGACCTTGAGAAAAATCAGAAAATTTCTTCAGGAAACTTCAATCCATATTTTAAAAGTGATTTTTTTTAAAGTACACCATTTGGAGTCTTCCAAGTTCCAAACTCTTACAACCTTTACCAAAAAGATGTTTCATTAACACTTTCCCTTTCTTCTCTTTTGTCACCAGGATGCTGAAATGATCAATAATCACACTTTGTAAATAAATATATTCATGTGGAAATTTGGTTACTTTCTTTTTCTCCTGTGAGACTACAATATTCCAGGAAAGCAGTCAGTGTCTGTATTTGCTCACCAGTCTATCCCCAATCACATAGAATTGTTCGTACTGCCAATTAGGTGTTAGGTATTACGCATTTAACGACTAATAGCAGACTTTAAAATTAAGTGCCAGGACCACCACTAATTTTACTTGGGTCGTAAGAAACAGCCATTTAATCTTTCAGTGTATTTTCACATCTATAAAATCGGGACATGTCTATCTGTCGCCACCTCACAGAGCTGTTACTCGGATCACGTGGAAGAGAGCATTTATTTGCTTTGCAAAAGAAAGTGCGTTATAGACACCAGTCCGGCACAGGCAGCTCAGGGCGGCTACTGAGGTACGCCCACGTCACCCATTATATAAGGGGACCGCCCGTCCGGTGTCCTCAGAAATCCCAGAACTGCGTCACTGGCCATCGCCCCGAGGAAGCCCTACAGTGCCCTGAGGATAAGCGGTGCAGGATGGGACCCGCCCGAAGCTAGCTGTCCGCTGCAGAAAGAAACGGCTCCTGGGCTGAGACCGGAAACCCCACCCGATCTCGCCAGACACCCTCCAGCTCTAGGTCGGTTCAAACGTGACCTTGTTTTGTGGTTGCTAGGAGACGCGGCTCCCGCACGCCCCCCACAGGCGGGCGCCCGGGCGAGCGCTGGAAGGGGGCGGGGCCGCGGCGGCACTGGAAGCGGTCGGCCCAGCACCGTTACGGCAGCTTGGCGCGCGGTGCCCTCTCCGCGTCTCTCCAAAAGGCATCTCGGCCCCTGTCACCGCCCAGGCTTCGCTGATGCCCTCCGGCAGGTATCAGCGCGCCTCCCGAGCGACTGTGGGCGACGTGGGATCTGGACGAGGGACGCATGGTGAGGTGAACTGCACCGAGGCGGGCGGCTGGTGTGGCCACGCCTTGTCGAGGGAGACAGGTCGGGCGAGTGCGGAGGGGAGAGGTGAAGGGATCGTGCTGCGGAACAGTGGGTCCCCGCGGTGCCATAGGTCGGACCATTCACGCCTAGGGGTGGTGCAGCCGCAGGGGGCACCCTCCCGCCAGCGGACAAAGGGTTAACGCGCCAGCAGTGACCGCGGGCCCCGGATGTGAGAGCCATGGCTTGGCGTCCGTGGGCCGCGCTGCAGGTGCGCCCGGGCGGGCGGAGCAAGCGGGCAGGCGACCTGGCCGACCCTCCGAGGCTACCACTGCCCTGCAGGGGCCGCTCGGCTTCCTCTGCGGGCGCCTTGTTTTCTAACTTGAGGGCAACAGGTGGTGCCTGTGGACCCAGGGAGAGCCCAGCTCTGCCGCGCTGGGAGCGGCAGTTACTCTCACCGGTTTGGGCACGGGGGTGGGCGGAGCACGGACGGGCTGACGCGAGTGACCAATGGGATTTGGGCTCATGGGTGGGCCAGGAGGAGTGGGCGTGGTCAGAGTCTGAATCCACGGTTTCTAGTGCAGCAAGCGCCAGAGCTGCGTGGAGAGCTAAGCCGAGCGGACGTGGGGTGCATCCACCCACCGCGTAGAAACGCCCACCAATGCTTTCTCGTTTGGACCCAGACTCCAATTCGGGAGGTGAGAGCATTGTGGTTTTGGGATGTGGGGGGAGGTGGGAGGGTACTAGTGACCTTGGACATGCTTTTAAGTTTGTGGAATTAGATCCGCAAGATAGGATTATGTGTTAGGAGTTTTCTGCCAAACAAGACACTTGTGCGGTTACTGCGACCTGTACTAGTCTTGACTGGGCTGTCTCCGGAATGAAGTCTTTGAGGTTTGGGGACCCAGGGGGGTAGAGAGGAGTTAATTTTAGTGAATGTTAAAGAATTTCAGTCACATTGATTATTCTGTCGTTTGCCTCGGATTGCGTGCGTTTAATATATCATTTGATCTGTTTACTGAAGCAAGTTTTATTTATCGGATTCCTCGTGTTGTTTATTTTAGCACAAAGAGAGAAAAATGGTACAGTATTTCACAAGAATAACTTATTCATTTCCCCCCTCAGCAGTTTTGTAGCTGGATCCCCTAGGAAGAGAAGTTCTAAAGCAGTAAGAAAATATTTCAGTTTGGAACACTCATTTGCAACTGGAAATGGGGAATGGACTGTCAGACCAGACTTCTATCCTGTCCAGCCTGCCTTCATTTCAGTCCTTCCACATTGTTATTCTGGGTTTGGACTGTGCTGGAAAGACAACTGTATTATACAGGCTGCAGTTCAATGAATTTGTAAATACTGTACCTACCAAAGGATTTAACACTGAAAAAATTAAGGTAACCTTGGGAAATTCTAAAACAGTCACTTTTCACTTCTGGGATGTAGGTGGTCAGGAGAAATTAAGGCCACTGTGGAAGTCATACACCAGATGCACAGATGGCATTGTGTTTGTTGTGGACTCTGTTGATGTTGAAAGGATGGAAGAAGCCAAAACTGAACTTCACAAAATAACCAGGATATCAGAAAATCAAGGAGTCCCTGTACTTATAGTTGCTAACAAACAAGACCTGAGGAACTCATTGTCTCTTTCAGAAATTGAGAAATTGTTAGCAATGGGTGAACTGAGCTCATCTACTCCCTGGCATTTGCAGCCTACCTGTGCAATCATAGGAGATGGACTAAAGGAAGGACTTGAGAAACTACACGATATGATAATTAAAAGAAGAAAAATGTTGCGGCAACAGAAAAAGAAAAGATGAATGGTGATACCTTTCGTATCTATGTGGAGTAGGTTTTCTCTGGTCTGATTTTGACAAATGGAAGAGTGTCTACAGCTTGGTTTGCCTGCCTTCCCTCCTGGATGCTGTTAAAGCTTTGTTTTGTTGAACAGCTGCCCAACTCTGTTGCCCTGTGGAAGATGAGTAAATGCTGTGCTTCTTAAAATGGTCTCTTCTCCCTACCCCACAAATCTTTTTGGTACTACCATTTTGGGAAGCCAAGCAAGGATAGTAAATTGACCAGAAAACAGTTGTGGGAATTTGACCTGAAGTTAGTGAAATAAAACTTTGAAGAACGTCTGCCTAGTGTTTTGTGCTTATATCTTTTAGGGGGGAAGCCTTCACAAGTAAATTGCATACAAAGCTTTGTATGTTAAGATAAAATGCTAATGAATGGAAATGTTATGATATCTATATATGTGTATATATATATATATACACACACACATATACATATGTATATAGTTATACTGATCACATTGGTCCAATGAGTAAGGGACAAGGAGGAAGTGTTTGATTTTTTTAAGTTTTGGCCAAATGAATTTTGACAGTTTCTGGTATCAAATAATGTAATACTATATCTTAATTCTAGACAATGTTTACATTGGTTTAACTTAAAATAATAAAGATAAGATATTTGGGGCATATTCAAGTGCATGGATCAGTTTTCCCAATAGCATGTTTTGGTGTGTAGTGTTCTACTTTTTAGAAATAGCTATGCGTCTTTCTACACAGGTTTAAAACACCTTTTTTGGGATTTAGGGCTGCTATAGAAATAATTTGTCGTTTCAAACTCTTTCACTTGGAGAATCTGAAATAACTTACATGTGGTAAATTTGGTCATGTAGACTAATCATAAATTCGTATGCTTAGAATATATGTATGGATTTATGAAGGAAGCAATTGATGAATTCAGACAAGAGGATGTAATTACAATACCTGGTCTCTAAAGTATTCCAGTTGTAAAATGTTTTATTAATATTTGCTGGCTGAACACAGATGTAGTTTTTTATATATTTTTGTAGTGTTTTGAGAGGAGCAAAAGGTTTATAAACAACATCTGATACACTGAAGTGAAAATGTATGAGAGAAATTGTGCTCTGAGCTTTAATATTTTGTTTATAAATTGAACAGTGTTGCACAAGCAGTCCAGTCCTGATTATAAGGTAGGAAGAAATGATACAGTACTGAGAAAAGAGTTACGACTATATAAAATTAAGAGGAAAGTAGCAAAGCTATGTTTTATGGAAATTCACTGGTGCTGTTTACATTGGAATCCAGAAATCTCTCTAAATTAAAAGGAGGAAAAACCTTTATTTAATTCTTATCTACAGGCAAAGACGTAACTAACTTCCAGTATTATATAAACAAGTCAACATCATTTCTATGTGTAAAGCCAACAGCTATTTGTGCTGAAGATAACCAAAGGAAAAGCACTTTGCTGGAAAGATTTTATTTTTATTTGGGTTTTTTAATTTAAATTTTTTTTATTTTTTAGTGGCACAGTTGAGTTTTGGAATCTTGATTCTTGTTACACACAAAATGAAGTAGCTTCCTGTGGAGCTTTTATATGTTAAATGTATCTGCACTAGTGACAGTCACTTAGAATGTTTATATTTCTAGAAATGTGAATAATAACTACCAATAAACTACTTGAGGCACTAGGAGAACAGTGTTTGAGTTTTAATGTATTTCCACTTTTTCTGAAGCTTTTAATTAGGTGTGTGAAAACTTGGACAGCGGGTAACATATGCAGTAGTTTGTTTCTGCTCAAGTGTGACTGGCACTGAAAACTGCTTCTTGGGAGGATCTTTATTTTACCCTTTATTGATATGAAATCATGGTGTATACTATGAACCAATAGATCCACGATGGATTAATAAAGCTGGCTAAAAAAATATGTGAATCAATTTAGATTTTCAGCCTTCCTGTACTGTTTATGTACTTGCTATGTAAAATATACATATTTAATTATCTCTTGAAAGTTTAAGTCTGTTAACCCTTATTTTGTAGCCTAAGAATTTGAAAAGCAAGTCCATGGTATCTTAGTTTTTCATATTTAGTGAACAACAACAACAAAATAATGTGAACATTATTTATAATGTACATTTTCAGTTACAAAACTCACTGTCAGATTTACCAGGTCACTAAATTCCAATTATCCATCACCTATTCTAGCTGTTAATACCATAGGATGAGTCTCAAAATAAACTCTGAAGAGTTTAGACAATGTTTTTATATCTAATTTTATTAAGGTACACCTTTTCTAAAGTATATTTCTAAAATATTTTCTTATATTTGAGGTTATTCAGTTTAATACCAAATATTAATCAAAGACCAGACAATTCTAATTTCAAATGACTATATGTA